GTGAGCTTGTAAAAAAGGCCCTTGCTACATCAACATACCAGAGAAACTGGTAGTCATCAAGACGGCCTTTATGCTTGGGGTGACCTCTACACCAACAGCTGTCCCCTATTTAGCCTTAAAAGGGCAAGTGAAGTGTACTCAAAGTACAAGAACCAAGAAGTGTGCTATCCATTTCAAAGGTAACTAAGGATTACATATGTAAATGAGCATACATCAGACAAACAACCATGAAAGACTGTAACAGAAGTAGGTAGAAAATAAGCTTTCACAGGTATGTGTACAAAGTCCCAGTCACTTTATTTTTTTAAATATATGTAATTAGAGCTGCGGTTTTGCTCCTCTGGCTTTTGATGTGCTTTTACAGCTGTAATTCATAGATGGCAATGTCAACTCACTGCTGGTACAGCATTTTGAACTGACACTTCAAAAAAAGCTTTTTCCTATCTGAAGGCAACAGGAAGCTATATGTGCCCTCTTGAAGGAGGCAGCATTTTCAGCCGAGGAGCATTTTCATTTTCATCCCCTGCTGTGGAAGTTGCTTTTTCTGGTAAGATGCGTCTTTCTGACCAGAAATTTTTTGGCCTACATACAGCTTTAGGAAAAGGTTATCACAATAGGTCAGACAGTAAAGGAAGGAATCTATGCCACACATTGCAAGTTAAGCTACAAGATATTATTCCCATCTACTTTAAATTTAAGGTAGAAGTAACTCAGTTTTAGCCATCCTTACCACTTTCTCCTGAAGTTGGGGATGGTGGCGGAGTGGCAGCAGTAACACTGTGTTTGTCCCAGATGCTCTCCAAAATACCTGGCCAAAGAGACATTCTTTAAAATCGCCTGCTAATAAAAACAAATTCCTCTAACAAACATATTAGAGACTTGAAAGAACTTTGGTAGAACACGTTTATACAGTGTTTGGACAAGGAACGTCCTCTTCTCTTAATGAACTTGAAGAAATCACCAAGTGCTTACATACACAATCTAAATCCCTCTTCATAAATAAGAGGGCACTTAGAGCTATACATCTGCTCTGCTACATAAGCTTGTTTCGTAGTAAGCTGAGCCAGGCACGCAAGCGGTAGAGTTGAAAATCTTCAACCAGAAGGAAGCAGTCACCATAGAGCCCTCACCTTGCTTCACTGGACAGTGAAGGAGTGAGCCTGCTAGCATCTGAGGGACGGCGAAAGACGACGCTTGTTTCAATGCCGCAAGAGTGGTTTAACTCATACCTGTGAGGAGCCCAAGTACTGTTTGCACCTGGTCCAGGAGCAGCTTCCTTAACTCTTCCTTCCGGGCTACGCTAAGGTCCTCGCGCGGACACGCCAGTTCTTCTGAAGTAGTTTTCAGCATGATCAGTCCCAGAGGAGTGGTCACAGGAGACTGAATTAACTGAAAGGAGACCACACAAACACGGTATAACATTCTGCAAAACTGTCAGACCGCACATACAAAATCAGGAATACTATTAGCAGTTCACGAGCATTTCGAGACTAAGGCAGCATCGATCTCCGCAGTTTACAGCGCTGCACGTTGAGCGAAGAGGACTGCAGGCATTTGATTTCCTGAGACACTAATTCACAATGCTGCAACAGTTCAAGCACCAGGGGAGTCCTCGGGGTTTCAAGAGAGCTTTCTTAATGCCACTGCCCGCATCTGCTGTTCCAACATGTTTATTAGTAGCAGTTTGTTCCTCGTTTACTGCCCGACGCCTGCCGACATCACCACTTCTCAGAATTGCCTCAGCGCCAGCGGTTTCGCTACGTAACGGGGCGGCTTCCGAACCGCAAACCTTTGTTTACCACATCAATGTGATTTTCAAAATTAAAAAAAAAAAAAAAAAAAAAAAAAACTCGCGTTCCTTCTAATACCTGACAAACAGTGGCAGCCAATACTGAACGTCCGCAGAACACTGGCAAGAGATACGAGCTCTCCCTGCCTCTGCATCAGATCTCACACTAAAAATCACAGCAAATCTTCTGAAAAGAAAGACTCCTATCGGGTACAGAAAACACGGGAGCAGGGCCAGAGAAAGCAACGATTTTTGCCTTCATTAGACTCCGGGCTATGAGAGACAAATTCAAGGGGGACAAAGCTTTATTTTCAGCTTAAAAAAGAAAAACGTTGCTCTTCTCTGCTGGCCTGGAGAATCCAAAGCAACTTATGTACTAACCCTGGGGGCCGGCGGGAGAACACAAAGCCAATCACAAGCACTACAAGCAAGCCTTATATCATATATTAAGTAATGCAGACTGATCTCAGTCCTGTTCATACTGAGCTCCCCCCACAAATCAGAGGCAAGCTGACTTGAAACGGCTCAGGCTACACAGTTTAGAGAAGCACGTGAAAAGGAAAGCCCATATGTGAGCTCTTAGTCTAAAACAGATGCCAGTCTGGTTTTCAGAAAGCAGGCTGGAGGGCATATATGATGAGCTTAAAGACAGCTTGGAAAGTTTGGGTTCTTTTTTTTCAGTTCTAGCTGGTGTTCATGGTAAGTAAATAGCTTTGCGCAGGGACCTTCTGATGCATGAGCTCCACGAGTTTCGGGCAGACAAAAGTTTTGATATGACAAGTTAAGACTCTTGCTATCACCCGTTTGCCACAGCTCCTCTGCCAGAGGTTAGCAGCCCTGTGGTGGGGCTGGCAGAACGGAAACGCGCACAGGATAAGCCATCTCCCCATCAGTCTGACCTTCCTCATCGTAAATTGAGGTTTTGTGCTCAAAAGGGACCATAAAGGCAGCAGTCTCAGGCAGGACAGCAGTAATGTCTTCAGCTGTTGCCACCGGATCTCCCAGGACTCACCAGTACTCGGAGAATAATTGATCTTTTATCGTGAGATTATTAGTTCATATTATTAATGCAACAGGACTTCATATTTTAAAGGGTTTTTTTTTTTTAAATTCACAAGAGTAACCCCTCTCTATACCCTTTCTTCAAATCACTGAAATCAGATCTATCTACACTTAACTAAGCCCAAGAAACAAAAGGAGAAAAAAATCTCTCCCTCAAAAAAAAAAAATCCAAGCTTCAGACCATATCCATACATTAAATTTGAGTTTACCAGTAAGCCTAATGGTTATTAATCTCTTCCACATTGGTGCTGTGCTAATGAAGGCGGGGGGGAGGGGGGGGGGGCACAAAACCAAAAAGACCAGATCCCTGTTCCTCTTCAAACAGCACAGCCGTTATTTCTTTCTTCAGACATGACCCTAAACCAGGTGTTTGAAGCAGATGTTTGGCACAGAAGCAGACAGCTAGAAAAGAAAAGCTAATGAAATATGAAACACATTGGTGAACGATGAAGAGATTTAACATTTCCTCAGCACACTTTCAGACAACACCAGGAAGTTTACTGAAGTGCCACTGCGTGGCATTGCTGATGCTAAACGAATTCATCCCTTCACAGAAGCAGCGTTTTTCAAGAAAAATTACTGCTTTTGCACAATGATAGCACAATAGCCCAAGTTACTTTCCCTCTAGTGGGTCAATAATAGTTTCAGAGACTATTTAGAGTACTGAGATACAACTGAATCCTAAATAATCAAACAGTTATTCAAATTATCTTAGAAGGAGGAGTTGAGATAGGGCTTATCTGCAGCTCCAAAAGGACTTCATTCCTTTGCTACTCTTCATAAATTGGGGGTCTTAAAGTTCAATATTAATATTCTTCCTACACTTTCTCTGAACGTTTTTGGAAGGTCCGCGCTATCGAAACTAACTTCATGGGAACACTCCCTCAGAAGCTGAGCCCAGAAGGGGGCTTGAGGAAAGCAAGGTCCCCAAAACGGGCTCTGCAATCACTTAGATAACTTCCAAATTCCTAGAAAAGAAAGGAGAAGCTCAGAGGGTATTTCAATTGCAAATCCAGGAGAAACCAAAAGCCCAAACTGTAGACAGTAGCCAGAGTACTTACAAGATGAACAACTCAGGAAGAAAATGCAATATATTGCACTACGTGATTACAGAAGCTGTTAGAAAAAAAAGATTACTTCGGTCACTAACAAGCCTCGTAGGCAAAGCTAGCACTTTCTGACTTTGCAATTAATACTCCATTTGTCTTAACAGAAAAACTCCCAAAACTTTGGGATTTTGATTTATTCAAATAACTGCCCTGTGGCTTGTCTGTAGGTATGCTTGCATTCAAATCAACGTAATCACATCAGCAGAAAAGACTGTGTAGCACTTCAGTTTACACTTGGCCTGTTTAAGCCAAATATGAACAGTTTTAAAAGAACTGGAAATGAAGTGCTCGAACCAAGCGAGTTGTTAGTTTGGCTCAGGCTGTACCATCCAGTTTCTTCACTGTGAAGACGTTGGATTACAAACACCGTTCAAACCAGTGGCACTGTCTCAACTGTGGCTCTCAAGTACTTATTCTAGTCTTCCTGTGAGGGTCTGCCCAAAAGTCTCCATCAGCATTCAGTTAGCGACTTTACATCATCAGGTGTCCCAAGCTTTTCAGGATAACTTTGGCCATTGGAATTTGGTGGAAAATCTCCAACAGCTTCATTCAGAAGCTTCCTTTTTGAGAGTCATCCAACAGTGCCCACCCAGGGTTTTACTGACTTTTTTCTTTATATAGAACCACCCACCACCTGCACATTTTCAACAACCACACTTAAATATTTAAAATTCAAAGTGCAGTTGATACTTGTTGCACACTCTTGTTCCTTTGTCAAAAATATTACACGAACATGATCCGTTTGGCAAGGTATCCGAGCCAAAGGCTAAAATGCTGAGTATATTCACAAGAGAGCTTCACCTGCATAACTCTGCACAGAAGACTAACCAGGAACTTCAAATTATGGTCAGAAAGACTTTAGAAACTTCTTGAGTATTGCTTAAGTTCATAGAGATCACAAGAACTAGGGCAGGCCAAGACTTCAGTCACACCTTTGCCTGCAGCATTGCACAGCAGCAGCATTGTATAAATTTAGCCAAGGCAGCTTTACACTAGCTGGTTTAGGTACCAGCAACAGCATCACCAGGGACACCACAGGTCCACGTGAGCTACAAAGCAGCCCGGAAGGCTTGGGGAAACACTACTCACGTGGCCAGCCATTCGACTGTACAGTAAAGCAGCTACTCAGCATTCTTAGTAGACTCATTTCACAGACATATCCCAGACTACTGTTGTAACTAAAACAGAGGGTGCCGAGACACATTTGCTGGCAAAACTTGGTGCGGTAGTTTGAGACGATTCACCCTGACAGAATTAGCAAAAGGGAACTAGTGTCCCCAGCGTCTTAGTATAAAGTTAACCTCTACAGCACACGTTCCCTTCTGCTGATGCTGCTATGGCAGAGAACTGGCACCGAGGTGCAGTGGGCTCTGATTTATTAAGGCTGCTGCAGCAACACTCACGGGAGCTCATCTGCCAGATCATGTAGCATATTGGCAATTCAACGCAGCACATCTGTGTTGCTCTGCCAGCAAGGAAGCATTAGCAGATCTGCCATCAAGGCACCTTCTTGGTTTTCTTCCAGCAGTCACCAGAGCACCAGGGATCAACTAATTGTCCCTAAATGTCAGAAGAAGGCTCCACTTAATCTCAACATAACACTAGAAAAAAAAAATAGAATGTGTAAGAAGCTACAAGTTAGTTGAAAAACTAAAGGAAAAGGAATTAGAAAAACCTACAACTTTCTTTTTCGTGCAATTGTTTCTTATTTAACCTTTGTCAAGAGAAGTCACTATTCAAGGAAACAATATAATCTCTCTCCACAAATTAAACTAGTTTTTTCTTTACAAACTTCAGCCTCTTTTCCAAAGATACATTCTTACCTGCAGAATGTTAGTGAAGAAGTCATGGTAGAACATTGGCCAGTCTTGTCGGCCAATATCCACAATCACTTTGCAGAGTTTGTTCCTGATGAAGTAAGGCAGAGTTTTGTGGTGAGCTAGAAGAAGCTTGGGCAGGCAGCTGCGGATCTCCATTTTGTCTTGAGATGGCACCCCAAGCCACATCTTATTGATTAGGTTCTGGAAAAAGAAACAGGCCTCCCAGATGAGCACATCTTAGACACACCAAAGGAAGTGCTTCATTAAGTTGAACAGTTAGGTGTCTGAACAGGATAATTTAACCCAAAGATACCAGGTATAGAGTCTGCAGGAAAAGTATCTTAATACATTTAATCATAACTTCCTTAACTGAAGTCTGGGTAAAAAATTACCTGAAAGGAGGAAAAGAAAAAAAAAAAAAAGCAGCAGCCAGAAACGTAGTTACCAAGTTTACCACGAAAGCCAAGTAAGTGCTATTCTCATTGAGAGTATTCAGACACATAACGCAGGGTTCCTGCTGCCTGCCACAATGCAGACAGGGAGAAGGCTATAGCTTTCAATAGCCATGCATCTACCCATGCCTCTACCTGACCGAGCATGAATCAAAACTTAAGCATCTACGTTTCATCTAGTTCAACTCTCCCTGCTGCCACGAGCAGACCTGCAGATAAGGAAACAAGTAGATATTAGTAGGTTAAACAGAAGATTTTTCTCTTTTTGTAGAGCACTTCAAATGGACGCTGTATGTTAGAGCACGTACACAGCCTCACTGGGCAAAGAGCTGAAATGTAACATGTTATGACTGCTCAGCAGTTTGGTACCATCTCTGACATCTTTGCATAAACTCACCTTTACGGGTTGTTTAAGCTAATAAAATCTAGGCAGATCAAGAGCAGCCGAATAGAGAGTACAAGCCCTGCACCATTAACTGTAACTTGGAACAAGCTTTGCTGCTACCTAACGGAGTACTCAGACAACCAGGACAGTGACATCTCAAGCTGCTGAGCAAAACTCGCGGAGCTCATCTCTCATAAGCCACGCAGTGTACAGGTACAAGCTCTAACAACAACAACGGAACAGTGACAGACTTGAAGAGTGACTCCACCATCAAGCAGTTTTGCATGAGATGCGCTTCACTGTCCCAGAAACTGTTACCAATATAGTTTTGAATAGGCGAGCTTTTCAATCAACTGGCAAGTGACAGCAACTAGCTTGCATCAATTTAACCAGTTCCAGGTCAAGTAGAACTAATTTACATATAAAATAAAGCCTTTCCACCATCTTTTAACCCTGGACCCTTTGAAAGGGGAAAGCACAACCCCACATGAGGCAGAAAAAGAGGAAACAAGTTTCTGCTTTAAGTGAACCTGATGCAGCAAAGGTCTCCTGAAGGGCTAAGCTGGGAGGTCACCTTACAATTCAAGAACTTTGCAGCCACAAGACACCACTTTAACAGAAAGCTTTTAGCCCACTTTAAAATGGACAAAATCCATAAGAAGGTACAGCTGCAAAATTACTTTCCTGCAATGCTACAATCCCATTTAGGGCCTCTGGAGTATTAGTAGCCAAAGCTCTCAGGGTAACTTATTCAGGAGGCCTGCTACCGAGGCAATATCTGCACCCATTTGCAGACACATAGTTTGGAGAATTTGAAACCAAGAAATCCTGTGCAGTGAAGGGCTTTGTTGCACAAAATGGAAGGCTGTAATCATGGTACAAACAACCCCAATTCACAGTATAGAGGTTTCACTGAGATTTATAAGTGAAGTGCCCCAAAGAGGCTGCTTTTTGGTTTGCAGAAAAGATAACTGTCTTGAAGTACTGCTTACAACCAATAACTTTTTTTTTTTCTCCTAAATCAGCAAAACCAAGGAAACAAGTTATTCACTGTAAGTCCAGAAAAAGAATTTCAGAAGCTCCAATAAAACTGGAGGGATGCTTTATCGTTAATATTCATGCTTTAACGCCCACAGAATTTTGTCCTACCCATAACCTATCAAATACTTCGGGAGGAGGGAAAACAAAATTATCTTTTTCCAAAACCAAAATGGAAAAGATTGTCCACTCGACATGAGAATTTTTATTACAAATCTGCTGTCATCTTTTAGCTGTTCTAGAAAATAGAGTGTTCTCAAGAAGTGGAGGATGACCCTTGTGTTTACACAGAAAATACTTTTGCTGATGAATTCAATCCTAACATAGCTGATCAGCTACAACAGTTAACTTCAGAAACTGCAGGTTCTCAACTGAAAGATTCTAATCTCTCAGCTAAGCCGTGGACTCATTTCTCTCAGTTCACACTTGGACAGTGATTTCTTTGTTCTGCTTAGGTCTGGGCACAATTATTTTTTCAGTACTTTTTCCCCGCCCCCCCCTCCTTCCAGAGGAGCAGAGCCTCAGTCAAAAATGTTTTCCTCCTCAAGAAAAATGGTCTAATTGCTGCAGGCTGCTACCGTGCAACATCCTTCACCAGAGAATGGAACAAACTCTTGCACCATTTTTGTCACGCTTACCCCTTTTGAGAGGAAGGATGGCCTGATGGTGAAGGGTGATGCAGATTCAGTTTGCGGATGTATTTTAGGCTCCCTCCCTATGCAACCCCAGATAAATAAAGTGAGCCTTTTAATTCAGAAAGTTAGACAACAACAACCTGGGCACATCATTGGTGAAAATAACACAACTTACATTAAGTACAGAGTTGTTTGCTCTATCTAAAAAGTGGTCCGCAGCAAAGGGTGTAAAAACCTTGAATTCGGAGCAAGGCTGCCAACCCAGCCAAGAGTCCAATGAAAAGGCTATAAACGGACCAAGGTAAGACATGACACCGACCAAGTCCCAGAACGGACCCATTGCATTTCATTAGGGTAAGACTCTGCGCTGCTCACCGAGAAAGCGGTTGAGCAACGGAACTGCTCAAAGGATGCTTTTGTTTCTTCAAATAGCTATACCAAAAAAAAAGTTAACAGTCAGGCTTCTAACTATAACTTTGCTCTCTTTTATAAATAGGTAAGAAGTGAGATGTGGTTTAAGAGCAGCCTTCCCTCTACAACTAGCATATAAACTTGTTGGATATAGTTCAAAAGAGCATCAACTGCAACTATTAAACGTCAGAAAACAGTAACTTTGCCTTTCCTCTTAGCATTACAGTCTGTAGTAGCTAGCAGCAGATAACCACGCATTCATTTCTGTCCCTAGAAAAGTATGAAGGCAATAACACTCTTAAAAGCATTGTACAGAAAACTCAAGCAGACTCTGAAATTGTAGGAAATTTGTATTAAGAGACGCCAGGAAAGTAATTCTGTAATTTGCGTGCAAAGATTCATATTCCCCTACCCTAAATCAGCCATTAAATAAACCCTTTAGGAGAGAGCAATAAAAGTAGGCTTTATCACTGTACTTATTAGGATTGCCATTTTAGACGAACATTTTCAAATGAAATTGATTGTCAACTAAAAATTGCATCAGACACAGAAAAGGCACTAAGGAGACAACAGTATACGCCTTACCTCAAACACAGTCAAACTGTACATCATTACGTAGTCGTTCCTTGTACTTGACAGGAAATAGAGGCAGAATCTCCAGGCTCCTATCTGCTGGGCAAAGTTATTCAAAAGCTCCTCTGAAAAAAACAAAGTATTAAAAAATACATTAAAATTTGTAAGCTGGAAACAGATCAAAGACATGATATACATAGCACACTGAGCATGGAAGAAACCTCATTTTCAGAAGGTGACTCAAACAATCTGGAATAATCATGCTCAAACAAGGGTATTAAAAACAGCCTAACAATAGGCTTTGGTGAAAACAATATGGGCATGTCACTTTAGAATATACAGTTCTGACACTGGTACTACTCTAGACTAATAGCTTAATATTAAAATACAAGTAACACACAATATTAAATTATGATAGGAAATATCAGACAACTCAAACAACACGCAACATTACCGTTTTACCTATAAAAACCAAACGGTAGGATACCAGGTCACTCTGAAAGATGGGGAGGACTTCAGATCACACACAGCATTAAAACGTTCTTGCGTTAATGTGTTCGCTCCCAGAATAACTTCACTGTAGGTCAGCACAACAAAGATTTCTCTGAACGTTCAGAGAGCAGATACGGTGGTCATCTCACAACAAGCGACTACGTACAAAACGCGCGCAAAAAAAAGCTGCGAGGGCTCTGTTTTACAGGCCAAGAGAATTTAAGTTAAGCAGTAAGTTCTGAAGGAATATAGCCTACAGCCCAGAAGCTTCTGCAAGAACTGGGAAACTTGGGCAAAACTACTCCGCGAATCCCAGAAATCAGTAGTACACATGGGTCTGACCTCCCTTCTGACTCATGTGCCCTAGGGTTAGGAACATAGCAATGGTACTTGTTATACACCTAATTCATACCAACTGAAAAGGAAGGTCTGATTTAGATTCATTCTAGCACTGCAGGTGATTTCCACAGTAAAAAGATATATACTTTTTTTTTTTTTTTTTAACATACATATATACACACACTTCTGTCTATATCATTGGTTAGTTGCTTATTCTTTACTCTTCGAGCTTTTGAGAAGACATCTTTCATGTTGACCATATTTCTGGTACCGCTGTTAGAGATAGCAGAAGTTTGAGAGGAAAAGCAAATAGCCGGATTATTTGCTTATTTATGCCCATTAACCACAGATGCAGGAAGCTAATCTAGAGCACCTGTAAGAGATCTCCACTGGTTTTCAGAAGAACACAATTAATAAGACCAACCAAAAGTGTAACCTCACTATTTAATTCCACTTGTTATTTCACACTAACTAGGACATTCTTCTGCCTTCCCTTCTTAACATAGGAAGAATCTGAACTCTACGCTCCATCTCTAGACAGAAGGCAAAGTTTTTCCAAGACACACAATCCAACAACGTACAGGCAGAGAAAAACTAACATCCTTCTCATATGACAGCCAAGTTATTATTCCGAGGAAAGAAGGTACTTTTCCACGCCCACGAGCAGTCAACCACTGCTACATTATCGATAGACTTTTCCTAGGACCAACAAAACCCCAAACCATGCAACAAGTGCTCTTGATGAATTCTCCCATACTTCAAGGTCATATGTAAGAGAGGCTAAGATGCCATTTCTGCACCAAACAGAACACTTTCATCCACTGCTGTTGTTTAACATGACCACCAACATACATCTGTTGAGGCATGCAAGCGGCAGAAAGCGAATCGGACCATTCATTAAAAATGGTATGAACTCACCTATTTCACGTTTCCGTTCATTTGTTGTGCAATTGTGGAAAAACTCTGTCATTAGACTCTCCAAAGCCCGTAGTGAGGCCTCTTCAGATGCCTGGAAACAACATTTAAAAGAAAATGTTAGCTTTAACTTCTGCTCGGACTTGTATTCAATTTTTTAAGTGCTCATGATTTCTACATAACACAAAGTACAAGGAAGTCAATATCCTTCTTGCCATATGTGCAAAGGCAACAAAACAGTGAGGCCCAGGTATAGGACAAAGCATAATCTGGAGTCTGAACTGCAGAACGGAGTCAAGTAGCAACAAGATTTGCTCACCTAATGTGAAAGCTTTGAACACAATTTTTAGAGTCCATTTGTTCTAATGGAAACACTTAAGAGCAGTTTCCTTCTTTTCTTTGGTGGCATTTAGCAATTATAAATTAGCTCATCCCTGTGAAAAAACCCTCAAAGACAGCAAGGTCAGGTAAATATGCTTTCAGACATTTGGCAGTAACAAGACGCAGCACGAGGCGCACAAGCCTGAATAGCGGGCACCTACTCGGGCACCTACTATCCAGCCTGAGTGTGGAGCCCCAGCCACGCTGCCGCCTGAAACACCCATGGTACCCAGGAGGAAGTAGCTTGAAAGACTAGTGAACATCCAGAATTTTGAAGTGACATACAGGTACTCTCTTGGTTGACTTGGAGAAAATACTTTCCCCCCTGAGATTAGCTCTTTTACTGGAATTAATCAGTGTATAGCTCAGTGTATTGCAGCCCTTAAAAAAAAAAAAAAAAAAAAAAAAAAAAAAAAAAGAAGGACTAGCATACAGCAGTTGTAAGGTTGCTACAGTTTTGTGACTGCTAAATGCTGCTTGCAAGAAGTAGACCAATCCGTTTATTTTGGTATCTCTCTGGAATTGGGATGATTTTATTCTAGCAGTAGCTCAACATTTGGCTTAGTCACTCCATCTGCTCTGCCCTTTCCTTAAGGTCTAACTCTTAAAACAGATACCCTCGGAAAACAGTGTTCTTACGGAAGGTACTCTGCTACCACAGTCATTCCTCTAATGTTTTCAACTCATGCTATCAATAATAAATGCATCCAGATTCAAGACCAAATGTTCTTCTGCACAAAAGCAAAGCAATCCATTAAAGAGAACTGAAACTTCTTCCTCAAACAAAAACAGAAACAAAAACCAGGACAGGCAGTGTTCTTGGAAGAGACTAGTTGTGGAGAGATAAGCAAGTGAGGCAACCTGCAGAAAACAGAAACTAGAAGTAGAGGTGCAGCCTATTTCCACCATACAGCACTGACTTTCCTCAAGCAGCAGGAGAGTATCTCCTCAAATAGCCTGACGTTAGATTAACACCCCAGGAGAACCAAGAATTCAATACAACAGCGTGGAAAAGTTAATTCAGCTCTGTTCTCCTAACAGCTGAGAATGGATGCTCTGCAGGACACCACGCAGTTTCAATTACTTAGCAAAGCAACAGCGCATTTCTTACCTTTCCCCCTCCCCCTTTTCATTTTTTTAAAAAACAAGACGCTCTCTAGAAATCAAGGAACCATTTTAGCAAAAAACACTGTTAGTGGGAAACAGACTTAAAATAAGACTTAAAATAAGCTCCAATCAAATCAAAGCCTTGTCATCTTAAGCAAGATCAAACATCCATTATCACTTCTTTAATCCATTCATACGGGTTTCTTTGCAAACGATCCCTTGCACTGTAAGCTTCACCTTCAACTTGACCCTTCCAAACACTGAACAGTTTCTTCTTTCTGTTGATCAGCATTTCCTAGATAACAGCAACACCACGGATAAGAGTCTTGCCTTAAAGGTTTTAATTAAATGGAGTCCTTAAATGATATTAGGATATAGCCACATTACCATTTCTACATTTCTATATTTCTTCCTTGAATACGCACATCATCACGAATTCCTTCCCAGCCTTCTCGCTCCCAATTAGAACCAGACATACAAACCCCGTGTTTCAGTAAATCCCTGCAATTCAGTTCTTTGCCACTCAGCAGTGGAGTGAATCTCACCAAGCAGCTTCAGATGCCAAACCTCCCAAGAGCAGCTGCCAAACTTGGGTGGCATCAATGTGATGCAGCAGCAGCATTCCTCGTACCAGAAGCATTGTTCTTCCCGGCTCGGCCAGCCCCTCCACCCACCGAGCCTGCCTCAATTCACAAAGTACTGTTAGCCCGTCACCCAGGAACGCTACGACTAGACTGCTTTAGCATAGTTGATTCAACACTTTAGGAAGAGCAGTCGAGAGAAGTCAAGAGTTTTCAGGCACAACAGTCAGTTCTTTTTTTAAAGGCAAGATTTATGAGCCTAGTTTTGGAAGTAGGCTGCAGAGTCTTCAGAAATATTGAAGACCCGACATATCCTCCATGGACTTTAAAATGCCTGGGCACAGAGGTTGTGAAGATGGCATTACTTAAGAGCCTATTCTTAGGAACATACTTAAAAAAAATCTTTAATATAAAATATCACCACCACAGTATTTAAAGGGTCAAAGGAAAACAAGGGAACAGCACAAAGCTAGCGTGATGGTTTGTTTGCCAGAGGCATGGTTTAGCTGTGGACAGAGCTGTCATGTGATTCATCTGGCACACATCTAGTCATCATGTAGGAAAGGGGGGTACTATGCTTCCAGACAAATGCTTGCTCTGCATTATTTTGTCCAAGTTCAGAGTTGTACTACCTCTAACTTTCCCTTCTGGTAAGGGACAGGGAAGGGTTGGGGGAAGAAGTCACCTGACAGCTAGAAGGCATCTCCAAACAAGATTTTAATGGAGAAAGGTCTATATGCTCTGAAGCTGGCTAGACTCCAAGCCTGATTTGGGGCAGAAGGAAACAGTGCGACCTTGGAGATTGTTTTATTCTCCTGTTTGCTTTCTCCCTGCTGTTCTAGAGGCACTGCCAAGGGAAGGTGGAGCAGCACAAATGGTCTGAAGTAATCAGAGCCCAGCCCATGACTGGCTCTGCAAACAGGAGAGCCTCCTGGGCTCTCCCCAGGGTGCTCCCTGATAGCCCCATCCAGCGCACCCAGTTCTAGCTCTTGGCTCCACTTAAAAGGGAGACAGGAACATTCTGCATGTGCTAATACCTTTGAGGATTCCTCAAGTTAACCATTTCTGGAGCATGCTGTAATCACCTGCCTCTCAAATAGACTGATAACTAGGTCGTCACGATAAGGAGGACACACGCTGTCAGCCAGCTGCAGAGGAAGCTTACTGCACATGCCTAGCCACTCCACAAAGTGGATTATCTAGAGTGAGACCACAACAGTAGTAGTACTGTAAGACCTGCAGCAGTACTTGCCTAATATTTCCAGTTGCACCACAGTACTATCAGCCACTTCAATATGCAGTTTTCTTTCTTCTAGGAAAGCTTCTGTTGAAGTAAGGGATGAAGGAACAGGAAAATATCACCTGGGCCTGAGCAAGTAACGCCGATGAAGTCTGATACTAAGCAGCAACACAGATACATAAACGACTGCCTCAGAGCACCCCTCAGTCCTGTGCTGGACGTCACATTTAGGACAAGATCAAACCCCACAGCAAGTCAGAACCAACAACATTCAGCCCAGCAGCAGCTACTCCATAGCCCTATAGTGTGGCCACAGTGAAGAAACGCAAGTGCTGTTCACCACCCCGTCCACTCTAAAAAAACCCCTGCCATTTATTTTTCATTAGCAGCATCGAAAGCTAGTGACCATCCTTGTACCACTAGCAGGAAATCTGGGCACTGGCTGGCAATGACTGCTTACTGAAACATCGTTTCCCTGTCCGCTCTGAAACGTAGCCATTTGGGCCACAAGCAAATTTCACTGTAGATATTTTCAAGGAAAGTCATGAAGTCTGGACCATCATTAGCAAATTTACTGCAGATTTTCTGGGTAACGGCTGGCAGTTTGCCTCACCTTCCTAAGGCACTGTGAAACATTAATCTATTTAAGATAGAAATACTTCCCTCTCATTTTCACAAGTCAAAGTCCATGCGACTTTCAGAAGTCCTAAGTCCCCCCACAGTGTATTTAGGGCTAGAGAAAACCTTCAAGGAATGGCATTTGCTTTCTGTAACCCTTTGAAGAAAAAAACATATTTATCTATATATCTATCTATCTATATAGTTTTGTGAAACCTGCTTGCAGAGCAGGTAAAGTGAGCTTTTTACCATGAAAAACTTCACAATTCACTGAAAACAATCCGGGTGAAGTCTGCCATGTCACTATCCACGCCAGTTGCACCGCTTCATGTTTCCTAGATGCTACAATAGAGCCAATACCTTAAGATTGCCGCCCAAAGGATTTTAGCTGCCAGATTCAGCAAAATCTCCAGGCAAAGATGTCGCAATCGGACACAACTTGGTTAGCAGAATAAGCAAATACTGGAGAGAAAGCAAGTGCGTTTAAATGCGAAGGCACTGATAGCTGCAGATTACTGTATCCCATTAGGACACCCATACTCTGACCCTAGAGACTGTTTTCAAGACAGCATCTTGGACAGATGTGTGTTGCAGTTGATCCTCCCCTAAAGATGTGCAGGTAACAGCTCCTGCTATGCTCTGCAAATAACTAGGGGGGGGGGGAATTCATAAGGCAATTCACACCTTCACTGCTGCCTAAAGAGGGAAGGTCTCAGGCACAGCTGCCTTCTCACTGCCTCCCTCTGTGCCAGCTCAAGAACTATCTGGACCCCTCCAGAAACCGAATTACCCTAAAATGGACCCAGATAACAAAGCAAAAAGAACAGTTTGGAGCCGGATATTCTGCCAAGTTGAGTCCCCTCCACAAAGGGCCGGGCAGATGCCAGCTACGCCACAGGTCGGCTTTTCTTGGAACTGCGGCATCTGATCTGAGCACAACTCCATGTAGGTAAGGGTGGGAGACAACACACATCCCAAGCACTCTCCCTCTACTTCCTTACCATCCCCATTTTTGTCTCGTGGACCTTATTAAAGGTGTTCTTATAATGGTTACTACATGAGAGGTGTGTAGATGCTTACTCACACCATTCATTTATGAACGCCAAAGCTTCCATACCCATCTGATGGGATTAGGAAAGAGACGGATTCACAGCTGAGATTAGAG